AAAAAAGCAGAAGGGGAGGGCCTAGTCTCTTTTTTTCGGTTTTGTTTTTTTTTTTTTTTTTTTTTAAAGCTCTCCAATTGATGTTGATGTAAAAGTGGACACAGAAGAGGAAGGGGCCAGGTGGTAAATGAGGCAGGCATGGTGCCTGAAGAAGTCCAGGCTGCTGGAGGAGAAGAGAGGAGAACCTGAGCGGGAGGTGATGTGACAGGTTTGAGGGAGAAAAAGTGGCAGAGAAGCTATGGAGACTGGGAGGCTGCAGATGGGCACGATGCTCTGGGATGTGAGGTCTGAGCTAGAGCTAGGGTCAGGGGAAAGGCCCCAGGGAGTGACAGTCATAGCAGTGAACACTGGCAAGAAGGGTCCTGGAGCAGGTCCAGAAGACTCCTCTGCAGTGAGATGGCGCAGGACACCCCAGGACATCTGGGCTGTAGTGAAGAGTTTCTCTTTACCTACCAAGACCAAAGTATTTCAGTACTTCAACAACCAGTATGGTCAAGCTAAGTGAAATGCAGCCCTGGTTAGTGAGAACTTTCTGACTCTGCCCCTCTTGCTGCTGCAGCTGTCTGAAAGTCTGGTGCTGCCCACCAAGAGCTGAAGATAGGAGTGGAAAGGCCTGGGGAAATTCAGGCAGGGGGAACCTTCAGTACCTCAATAGCACTGTCACACCAATTCATCTGGTCATCCACCAACTTGATGCTGTGCTTCATGCGTTCTGGGGGCAGTAGTTTGGCCTGGCCCACAACAGCTGGATAGGAGAAAGCAGGAGAGAGGATGCAGTGAGGGTGTGGGTGTAGGGGAATGCCAGCTCCCACCCCGATCCTGCATGGCCCCAACTCACGGTCCATGGCTGCTGGTGCTGCAGTGCCCATGCCCCGGTTCTGGATCTGGTAGACTGGCTGTGTGGGCCTCTGTCCCTCCTTCTCCCCCTTGGGTGGCGCAGGGGCTGCAGGGGGTGGTGGGGCGGTACCCTCAGGAGTAGAGGTGCCTGTTACAGCCACAGGCCCCTTCCCCTCCTCCCTTGGCTTCATGAGGACGATGGGCTTCTCCAGTGGGGCTGGGGCAGGTGGAGCAGCAGGGGCTGCTGGAGGTGGTGGCTGCTTTGACTATGGTCATACAAAGGTTTCAGTCAATGGACAGACCCCTCCCTATTGGGTCCCCTCCTCCCCCTTCCAGAGGTTCTTCCCTGCTCACCCGCTCTGCTGGAGGTTTCGAGAGGATGATGGGGGTTTTCTGCATGACAGATGTGCTTGCCTCTTCGCTGCCATCCTGTGGTAAGGGAGGGGAGTTACTCAAGAATGGCTCCAGAAATGGCTTCTGGACACTCCAGATACGGCTTCTGGACACTCCAGGTGGTCTGTATGCTCCAGGTACCAGTCTAAATGCATCCACATATTAACTCCCTTAATCCTACCAACAACCCTCTGGGATAGCTACTACTATTATCTGCATTTTACAAATAGGCCAAGGCACAGAGAGTCAGCTCAGCGACTTGCCCGAAGTCACGCAGCCAGTAAGTCAGGATTTGCACCCAGGCAGCCTAGCTCTAGAAACATGTCCTGAACCG